CAAAAAATAAAAACAAAAAAAATCAATTGACCATATTTAGCTGACTCTATTTCTGGGCCCTTTTCTCCGTTCCACTGATCTGTGTACCTTCTACTGCTGGGATAACGTAGCTGTATAGTAACTCTTGAAATAAGGTCCTTTGAGTTCATCTACTTTGCTGTTCGTTTTCTAACCATTTTGGCTAGACTTGCGTATATACATTGGAACTCTCTTGTCTATATAAAAATTCCTGCTAGGATTTTGATTAGGGTGGTGTTGAATCCAGATACCAACTGGGGAAGCATTCACATCTTAACATCAAATCTTCCAGCTTATGACCATAGTATTTCTCTGCATTTATTTAGCTATTCTTTGATTTATTTCATCAATATTTTCTTATTTTTAGGATATAGATCACATACATATTTTGGTAGATTTATACTTACTGTTTTATATGTTGGTGCTCTTGTAATTAGGACTTTTTATGAATTCCAATTGTTTATTGCTTGCGTATAGAAATACCATTCATTTTTTAATATATTTTAAGTATGATGTTAGCTCTGGGCTGTTTGTTGTTTTTGTAGATATTCTTCATCAGATTTGGGGAGCGCCCTTCCAGGTATAGTTTGCTAAGAGTTTTTACCAGGAATGTGTGTTTAGTTCTGTCAAGCGCGTTTTCTGCATCTATCGATGTGACCATGCGTGGCTCCGTCTGACTTCTGCTAGTGTGGTGGGTGAATCACAGCAATTGATTGTTGTATGTGGAGGCAGCCTGCATCCTTTTTATATATTTTAAAATTATTGGATTCTCTCTGCCAATATCTGTGTCTACTTTTTGTCTGTGTGTCATCGGGACAGTGATCTGCCGTCTCCTGTCAGATCTTGGGCTTCGGGGGCGGGTGACGCGGCATCATCAGTGTGACGTGGAAAGTGTTCCGTAAAATGAGGCGGAACGTGTCCTCTTCTACTTTCTGGGAGAGACTGTAGAATTGGTATGACCCTTCCTTACGTTTTTGGTGGAATTTGCCAGTGAAACCACTTGGAGATTCCCTTTTTTCAGGATATTTTTGCCTCAGTCCTGCCCACCATGGTCCCAGGGACAGTTCCGACTAGCAGCCTGGGCACTGGCTCGGGTGTGTGGGTGCGTCTGGGCCTGGGCAGGTGTGAGCTCCGTTCTCAGAGCCAGC